CTCCAGGAAAACCAAAATTTCAATTAGAAAATCTTTTGAAAGAAAGACTTCGAAGGAAAGTGCATGCGTTCTTCTTTAGAAAAGAATTTCCGACAGTAGACAAAGTTCTTGCCACGGTTCGAGATGATAAGGATTACCCTGAAATGAGTCGAAGCACACTATGGAAACTTTTAAAAGATGGAAAAAGCATTCCAGAAAGTCTATTTTAATAGAAAGAAGCGATATTGTAGTATGGAGAAGAAATTACCTAAGGACTATAAAAGAAATGAGAAACCAAAGAAGAAATATATTTTATTTAGATGAAACATGGATCAACGAGGGACATAAACTAAATAAATTTTGGCAAGATGAAACTGTTACAAGTCGAAGACAGGCTTTTTTAAATAATTTATCTACTGGTTTAAATCCACCATCAGGAAAGGGGCGCAGACTAATAATAGTACACATCGGTAGTTCAAACGGTTTTGTTAAAGGTGGTTTATTGACTTTTGAATCTACTCGTACCGGTGACTACCATGAGGACATGAATGCTGATGTCTTCAAAGGGTGATTCGAACAAATTATAAATCTTCTTCCTCAGAACTGTATAATAGTAATGGATAATGCAAGTTATCACTCGTGACTTATAGAAAAAATGCCCACAACCAAGTGGTTAAAAAAAGATTTACAGAATTGGCTAAATTAAAAGAATATTAACTTCCATCCCGGTTCTGTGAGAAAAGAACTGTATCATTTGTGTTCCCTTCATAAAGAGAAATTCAAAAAATATGAAATTGATGAAATTGCAAAAAATCGTGGGATGACGGTGGTTAGATCACCACCATATCATTGCGAAGTAAACTCGATTGAACTGATATGGGCACAGATAAAGGGAGAAGTTTCAAGAAAAAATAATTCTTTTAAAATGAGTGATGTTAAACAGTTGTTTTTGGAGGCTGTAAATAATGTGAAGCCTGAAAACTGGGAAAAGGCAGTAAATCATACGATTAAAGAAGAAGAGAAAATGTGGAAGTTGGACAATATTACTGTTGAAATGATCGAGCCACTCATTGTAAATATTGGTTGCGACAGTTCATCTTTTAATTTCGATTCTGATTTGGATTTGTAGGTAAGAAGTAGTTTTTATATTAAAATTATTATTTATGAACGTAACGTTGTTTAAAAGTCAAAGTTATACCTACATAACCCGTTTGACACAATGTTCTTAATATACCTTGTGGAAAAATAAAACATTTTAGAAAAAATTGCCCTTTTTTACCTTCAGCTGTTTAGAAGTTATAAGCAGGTTAATTAGGTGAAAATATAAGTGTATACTCGAGGAATAACCAAAAAATATTTTAACTATCTACTAAAAGAAGTGCTACGCCTATGGATTACGAACGCTTTATTATTTTAATACTCTCTCATACATAAAAATAGACTATAACTGGTTATAGCGTGTGTAATACTTTGTATAATCTCACACTATTTTTTATTGATATAATAGAAAAAGCAAGGGTAATTCAAATATAAAATAAAATACAGGGTGTTCCATTTAAAAAACCCAACTTTCATATGTATCACTTTCTTGGAGAACCCTGTATAATTGAAATTATTATTAAAATGTTGCCTTTTCTGATATACATTTTGATGTGAAAACAGATTCAAAAAAATCAAATAGTTTTGGACATACAGACCGAGGCGTTACTGGTGCCCCACCCTGTATTTAAATATATGTGAGGTATACAAGCTACATTTATTTGACAAGATTTACAGTAAGCAGACACCACCGCCCTTTGATGCATAAATAATTTAAAAATTACGATCCTTTCTATAGAGAATAATTTTTTTTTTAACAATTTCACTATCAAAAATATTAAGGCTTAGCTAAGTTTCACTTAAAGGTACATTACATAAATATCAGTTTGTATTTCCTGTACCGTAAATCTAATCAACCGAGGCGCGCACACGTGTATTAATCCGAATAAGTTGCTCCCATAAATAACGCTAACTCTAAAAAAGAAATACATAGCGGGTTTATATTGCGTTTATTCCTTTAATTGCTCGTGCCAAGTTGAGAAATCTTAAGCAAAGCAATGTCTAAACTAAATGACCTAATGACCTCACAAATAGATTCATATTTGATTCGTTTTATCTTTCTTTTAACTGCTGAGTGGCGTTGTTAAGTTTGGTTTTATCTGATGGAGCTCTGGTCTGATTCCATTTCCTCTTTGCAGAGATAAGTTCCTTTTGTAATAATGATACTGAAAAATAGTAAATAACTCATTAAATTTAGCGTTATAAACATTTGCCCAGTCCTCAAGTATCAGTAAGTTACTGAAAGTTATCAGGTTACCTTCTGAATACTCACGTTTAAGTATGGTTTTGTTGGAGTTATCCACGCGACCTATGATCTGATAGATGAGTATCTTTCACTTCATATTTAACTGCCTGCAGATTTGAGAATATAAGATCAATACCTCTTGTTTCAAAACAATTTGAAACATATAAAAGACGGTCCTGTGCTCGCGAATCCAGGTGTTTATTGTTGACGACCAACAACAAGTGTGTACGTGACAAGACTCGTGTGCGCCAAAGGCTAACGAGCTTAGGTGACGTAATCATATGTGTATCTCTCTCTTTAAAACAACAAAACGGCAGAGAGGTCCGTGCTTTCATGAAACACAGATCGACTCTCACTAACATGACAATTCTTTTATATTATACAAAAATCACTTAATTTTTTTGAGCAGAGATGCAGTGTTAATCATGTGTTTGATTCAACTGTTAAAAACCTACAAATCCAATACCTATATTGATACAGTTTGGCTTTTCTACATAATTGAGCATATCAAATGCAAAAAATAAATTTTTAAGTTTTCTTGATTCTACATTATTAGTTAGTGTGTCTACAGAAAATGTAGTATTGATTATTTCTATATATAATGCACATCAGATAATAGATCCCATCCAGAAATATTTGTAAATTACTAGGCGGTGTTCTGTATACGATTACAATAAATAACTTATTTTAATCCACTAAGTTTAGCTCTATAATAGAGATCTCTTAACGTTAATAAAAAATAGAAAGTAATCGAGATGAGAACTAGCGTTTAGATATGTTTTCTTATAGAATAAAAGACATTAAAAACATCATCTGGTTCTTGATTATTGAATTGGCATTTATCCTGTGTAGATTAAATAAAATGCAAATGCTACTTTTATTAAATGCCTCAAAGTACTGTTTCTTCTGAAAAGAAGGTAAAAGTGCCTATTTTGATTTAATTAATTCCCGTAAACTTGATGTATGTACCTTTACCACCTTGTATAATTATTTTTCTTATAAAACGCGCAACTGGTGGCACACTCGACCCACATTGAGCCCTGAGTCTTCAAGCAGCCAATGACCCAACCAACACCAAACTCACAAATGGCTACCAAACCAGCAATATTACTTTTCGCCTCTCTCTGTCCTCACTTCTTATTTCTTCTGCTTCATTCAGTTCCAAACAAAACTGGCCGGGTATTTACCATGCCAGGATAATTGAACGCATACCTATTATAATTTGTGAATACATGAATGGAAGGCTTGCGCTTCTTAAAACCAGCGGTATGAAATTTCACGGTTCAGCCTTGAATTAAAATATTTTTAATGATTTTTTCCACTACTTCATTAAACATATAAAGAAAAAATTAATTAGTTTGAGATGTGTGTCTACCCGCTCTTCTCCTTTATTATATGAAACTATTAATTATAGAAAATGGGCTATTCTAAATTTTTAGTACTTACCTTAGTCCTTAGTCTATAAGTAGAATGTGACTAAAGGGCCATTTACACCGCTAGTAGTTATGAAATAAGTGGTGCAAATGGACCTAATAAAAGTTATTAACAATTATTTAATTAATCGTTTTATGCCCTCACAAACTTTAGTTTCAAGTTCCAAGTATATAATAGGTGCTTATGGTATATTTTTCATGAAAATATATTGACAAAGATAAAGGATATACAGACAGGAATTAGCGTTTTCTATCTGTGATTTACAACCTCAGATTACAAAAGAGAGAGCAATACTGAAAAGAAACATAGGGTTAATTTCATCACAGAAATACTCTGAGAAAAAGTAACTGTTCACAGTACACCTAGCTCTGTGGTTAGTACTAGAATGTCACGAAGCTTTGGACGAAGTATCTATCAACAATGTGGTCACCTCAAGATGGATTAAAGATTACGCCACATCAAAATGTAACCGGCTTGCTTGTTCATCAAATAATTTTTGGACCTGGTCCTTTCATTGAACTAACAACATAGTGACAATTTTACTTAAAGAACATTCCCTTGTAAAATTTAAGGAAAGGTGGGATGAAACAACAAGCTGTAGAGTTGCTGGCGAGCTTTTAAATTATCCCAATGATACTACATCAAACAAATATGTGATTATTACTAAACAGAATCTGTGCCAGTTTACAATTCATAGTTGAAGTTGTCAGAATCTGCACTCTGTAGGAGGTGTGAACAAGAAGATGATGATGAACAAGAGGATGGGAACATTGAGCATATCCTATATAAGAGATATAAGGGAAGCACCTCTTGGCGACGTTGTCATCTTAGGAGTGGGGTAACCCACACTTCACACGTTACAGATACAAATACCCTCTGCAAGAATAAATAATTATCAACAGCGCTCTAAGTAATTAAGATTATTATTTTCTAAAAAATCAGATATTTCTGAATATATGTGCAAACTCGGAAAGAAAATGGCAGCAGAATGTAATTTATTTAAATCAGCCTGAATCTTCCAGTAGTTGCTTACATAGTATAAAGAAACTATACTAAAACAAAATTTTTTTTTCTACGACGAACAGTTGTATATATCAGTGACTTCTTCTTTAATATAGACATTAAGAAAATGGTGTAGCAGACTAACTACATCATTTTGTCCTTTAGCAGCCAATGTTTCATAATACACATAAAAAAACTTTTTCCAGTACTTCCTACATATTGATAGTCAGATTTTCAATTTTAATATGTTTGTTTGATTGAATGATTCGATATTTAATTAACCTCCAAACCCGTATAGAGTACGTCCTTGACGTTTTAATGCGTATACTACGTCCATAGCTGTTACAGTTTTTCTTTTGGCGTGTTCAGTGTACGTAACGGCGTCCCTAATAACGTTTTCCAAAAATACCTTTAACACACCTCTAGTTTCTTCATATATAAGACGTTTGACACCTCCGCGTCTTGCTAATCTTCTGATTGCTGGTTTAGTAATACCTTGAATGTTATCTCTTAGTACTTTACGATGACGTTTTGCGCCACCTTTTCCAAGACCCTTTCCTCCTTTACCACGTCCAGTCATTTTTAATTAAATAGAAAAGAGACGAACTAAATTACCTACTTACACAAACACATACACTATACAAAGAATGGACACAAAAATTATATACCCAAAGTTGGATTTTATAGAACACTTCTCCATGGGAGGATCCAGGAAGAGGCAAATTTTGTTGGACATCAAATGTCAACATTTCTACACTTGGGTAGTTTTGTGCTAAATATGTTTTATCATTAATGCAATTTTTTGTCTTCAACTGTGTGTTTTGTTCTTCATTGTCTGCAGCGTTAATTTCATTTATTAGTTTGTCCCATTTTTGGCATGTGTCCGACTTTGGTTTACCAAAAGTATTCTGTAAAAAACTTTCTATAATATTTATATTTTACAATAGGCTACATATTTTGATCTTCATGAAGTAACTGTTCAGATTTCTCTAGGTACATATGATGCATTTTGGCCATACCGAGGAGAGGTAATAGTGGTTCAAGTTGTCTTTTGAACTATAATGTGATTTGTATTTTGAATAACTAAGAATATGTCTTCAGGTAGTTTATTAGGTCTGAACACATGATTTCCTCTGCTATCTATAGGAGGAGCTCCGTGTCTTATATTTAGGTGCTTCTGCAGTTGCTTTTGTGATTCCATTAAGAGAAAGGAATGCTTTTTTTGCAAATTTTCCACATCACACCATTGCAGCGAATCTGAAATAATAGCACGAAGTTAAACTAAATGAATGCAAGTAATGTTGCATTTTTTTGATTTCCATCATCGGAACGTGGTCTAGCTCTCTGTACTTATATCTTGAAAATATTGCCATACAAGCATCTTGCAGCTCTTTTGATTTCATAGCACAAAAATCAATCCAATTTCATCAAAACACTTTAGTTTACAGTAATAGTTACTACCAATATGTTTTCAAGGTTTTTGAATACCTGTTACCTTTATATAAAGCTTACCCTTAGTTATTTTAGCTTTTTGTATGTTAATTGGAAAAATAAATTGACTAATAGTTTATAAATAATGGTGCAGATCAATAATTTATTAAAGACAAAAACTAGAATAGCAAATTTATTAAAACTAAACTTTTTTTCATAAAAATAGACCCACCATTTATTTAACCTTACAAAAATAACATCGTTTATTTACAATTCTTTGCGATTCATATCGCAGATGGCTGGTACAAGATTCAAAATGATTTTCATGTAGCTGAATCCTGTTAAATCGAGAGTAGACCACACACAATCTGACAACGCCTTTTTCACCGTCGGGTATTTTGACTTTTTATTTTCATTGCAAATATCCAGTTAAGTTTATCTCGACGTTCAAAATGCTCTTTGAACACGTAATTCAACGTCGCTGTTATTATTCTCAATTGTTACAGTTACGTAATATAGATAAATGCCATTTGGAACGCTCCAACGAATAACGCGAAGTTGTATTTGTGGTAAATAATATAGTTGAGATACATGCTATCTTAAGGTTACTTACCTAATGAAGTAGAACCATATATACAGCAAATGTGACTTTTTACATGACTTCTAGATAATTAAACATATTAGTTTTAAACTATTTATTAATAATAATTGTTTTTATTTAAGCAAAACCGATTTTAATAAAGGGTTTTATACAGGGTAATTCATTGAAAATAAGCATATGTTACGGGTAAATAGCGGTCATTAACCTAGTTCTAAACAGGCCGTATTTAACTCTAAATTTAAATTATTTGCAGAATTTTTAAAATGTTAAACGTTCATTTTACTTTTCCGAAAATTTTAGAATCTATTTTTATATAACAAATACACAACTATTAGATCTTGACGAAATTAAATTGAGACCATTCCTGAAGTATCACCTTTCTAACAGAAGAAGAATTATGGAAATTAAACTATTTACTAAAGAATTATCGCTGAAGTCGGTTAAAAATACATTTAACATCTAAAAAAGATACTTAACCACATTTTTTGCTTGTTGCCTGTCCAACGGAAGGGCCAGGTCCAAAAAGTATTTAATTGTATTGATAAATCTCTGATTGTTTATTAACAAGACACAAATTTGTCCATACACAGATTTATCCATTTATTTCTCCAATTATTCATAACTTTCAGACCGCACTGTGTATAATGCCAAAAATAAATAATATATTCGAAAAAAATTATTGGTATAATATAAAGTCATCAGGATTAAATATTTCTATCACGAATTTTGGTAAAACAAATTAAAAAAAAAGTAAAATGGTAAATAAGCAGAACAAACTATGATATTTTAATATTTCAATAGGAATACGTTGGTAAATAAGATTATAATAAAAAAAGTACTTGATTTTTTATAAAACATATTATTTTGCACTTTTTAGAGTCAATTTTATCATTACCAGCGCATGTGTAAGCTTCTTAATTCTCTTCTAACTCCACATCTTCATTATTTGAAGTCTTTTATGTTTTTGAGTTATGCCACTTTCAGTAAATATTAAATTTGTCGGGTACGTTGGTTTATTATATATTGTTTTTATTATTTTGCTTTGAATTACTTCCAACTCCTTCAGATGTGTCTTGTCCATAGCCCCCTAGGATATCATGCCATATCTTATTCTGGATTCTACAAGACTAAAATATATTATGCGAAGGTGTGTAGCATTTATATACAGGGTGTTTCTAAATTCATGCGATAAAATTCAGGAGGTGATTTCTCGTATAAAATTAAGATGGGTCTTTCCTATAACAAAATTTCCTCAGCCAACCCCTTTACGAGATGTCACCCTTAAAAAGTGGTGACTAAAATTTAGTCTTTATTTTTTTTCTTAAATTTAGTTTGGCTAGAGGTGGTCATTTCCATCATTTATTATGAATCGTATTACATTTTAATCTTTACTGTTTTACACTCAATTTATTAAATAAATTATAAATTATGGTGTTTATTATTTTTTTAAATAAAACAAGGATTTCAAGTTATAATTTTATTTCATAAAACATATTAAATAAAGTAAGGGTTGCTAATTTCACCTCCTTATAATGTAACAGTAATATTAAAAAAATACCCGTGGTTAGTTCACGAAAATTAGAAAATTTCAAATTTCTAGCTTTACTGAAATTTAAAAAAAAAATAAAAACTCAATTTTAGTCATCATCTTTTAAGGGTGATATCTCGGAAAGGGGTGGGCTGAGGAAATGTTGTTATAGAAAAGACCCATCTTAATTTCATACAAGCTATCACCTCCTGAATTTTGTTGCATGAATTTAGAAACACCCTGTATTTTTTTAAATATTTAAATTTATAAAATAGCAATTGTAATGTTATTATCTATATCAGTGGTCGCCAACCTCTCAATGTGTTGAGCTACTTTGTTAATTTTGGAATAAACAGGGAGCTACCCACACGGAAGCCACGTAACGCAACGTAAGTGAAATAATCCACAGTTAATTTATCATTATATGTATTTATTTTACTATTTAACTGGTAATACATAATACATAGGTACTAATAATAAACTATTATTACTAGTACGTACTTGTTCATAGCTACATTCCTACCTACCAAACGAAGGTGTTTGAAAAATAAACACAAACTTTTATCCAGCCACAACGGCATGTCACGTAAAATTTAAAAATAGTTAATAATAACAAAAAAGTAACGCACTATCATGAACATAAACATTGAAAAATAAAAAAGCACGTTCAATGAGAAGGCTGACACTCAGACTCAATAATTTTTTTAATGTTTGCAGTATAATTGGATACAGCCATTCGTATACAATTATCCAAATGTTCATCTGTAAGTCGATTGCGATATTTGTTCTTAATAAACTTCATATTGGAAAAAGAAGATTCACACAAATAGGTTGAACTGAATAATGCTTTCACTTTAAAGGCAACACGGCATAGAACTGAATAATTGTCTTTACTTACAATAGGCCAGATACATTTGGTACTTGAGACTAACGATTTGAAGGCTAAATCATTTTGAAACTCAATTACTGCCATTTCTGTTGCAGCGATGTCTTCGCCAAATTTCTGCATAACACAAGTTGCAAACTGTTGGATATCAATTTCCATAAAGAGTGAAACAACAAACTGCGCTACTAAAGCCATTTCGTTGAAATCCTTAAAACGATTTTTGAAGTTATTCTTCAGAGTAGAAACTATTTCTACATGACATTTGCTTTCATAGGGTTCTAATGGATTTTGAGATTATTTTTTCTAAAAGAATGGGAAAATGCTTGGCATCGCTGTTAATTAGGTTTTGTTCCCAAAACTCCAGCTTTTTGATAAATGCTTTTATATCAGAAATAATTTCCGCTAGTTCTTTGTCTCTCCCCTGAAGCTGCAAATTAAGTTCGTTTAATTTCTCTGTAATGTCCACGAGAAAACCAAAATCTCTAAGCCAGATTCAATTTTCTCGTTCCGGAGACGGTTCATCGCGTTGTTTGAAAAATTGAACTATGCCAGATAGGACATTATTAAAACGTTTCAGCACCCGTCCTCTACTTAACCATCGGACTTCATAGTGAAGGAGTAGGTCCCCGTATTGATAGTCAACTTCATCGGCCAAGGTTTTGAATAATCTTCTTTGTAACGCTTGAGCTCTAATCTTGTTCACAATTTTTACCACCAGTTTCATAACGTTGTTTAGTTTCAGGAAATTTCCACATAATGCTTGCTGATGGATAATGCAGTGGTAACAGAGAAATTGCGGAAAAGTTTCATCTTTACGACATAACGTCACCAGAACCTTATCACAACCCACCATAGCTGGAGCGCCATCGGTTGTCAAGCCTACCATTCTCGATATTGGAATTTTCTCGGAAGAAATAATATTTTTTAAATGAGAAAACAACTCCTGTCCAGTAGTGTGTCCTTTCAGTGGAATAAACTTCAAAAAATCTTCTTTAATCGTAAAATCACTAAAAACCATTCTGACGAACACGGCCATTTGGGCAGTGTCAACGACATCTGTTGATTCATCCAGTTGAAGTGAAAAATAAACAGAGTTATCTAAGTCAGTTCTTAACTGTAAAAATATATCATTGCTCATTACATCTACACGTCTCATTACTGTATTAGCAGAAAGTTGCATAGATTTTATAGCTGAAACTATCTC